GGACAACCAAGAGGGTAGAGCTAAAGATCTCGGTGTTCTCGTTATGGAAAATTTTAGGCAGGTGTTATCTGCTACCACGCTACCTCGCTCGTGATTACTTCAGATGCGAAGAGGCAGGCTGGGCTGGGCTGGGCTGGGCTGTGTCAGTCATTGTTTGGTTGGAGCCTTGGAGGGGACAGTTTCTCCGTCAAGACGTGGCCTTTCACTAGATGGTGCTCTTTGCTGAGCCATCGCTGTGTCTGACCCCTCTTCTTGGAGCTGGGAACTTCCAAGTGATCTGCCCCATAAGCCCTTCTTGTACAGATTGCACTAAGGCAAAGGAAAATGTTTTTTCCAGAGTCCCTGCTCTCATGTGCCTTATTTTATGGAGCCATATGAAAAAAAAAAACAAAACTACTTCTTTGTATCTGGTTGTTAAGATTGTACAAAGCTGGTAGCATTCCAGCCTCCAAAACGATCAAAATGCACAAGCATTGAAACAATTTTTATTGTTTCAGTTGCTTTCAACTGAATCAACAGTGCACATTTTGGAAGCCAATGCCAAGTTCAGGTGCAGGGTTTTCAGGAGATAATGTTCTTCACCATACACAGTGCTGGTTTTCTGTTCTACTTAAGAGAGAACGTGATGCATGGGAATTACCTGCAGCCTTCACCCAGTGCTCTGATTAGCAGCAAAATCCCTGGAAAGTATTTTGAAGTGGTTTTGGGCTGGTTCTCATGAAGTGACACACGTAAAGCTCAGTGCTGATACTGCCTTTGTGCACATCATCATGCAGCCTCTGCCAGTGCTAGCAAGGATACACAAGTGTGCTGTAGAAAAAGCCAAGCACAAATGCTGGGCCACCACAAGTACACATCTCCAAAGAGCTTCCAACAAAAACGATAACTGAGGGCAAGTCACCACCACAAGAGATCAGGCATCTTCACTGTGCAGGGCCTCCTCCAGCCCAGCCGCACACAGACCGCAGGCCACATGAGCTCATTTGTAATGGTGGGGTGCCGTCTCCACAGCTTTTCCGGGGAAAGGCGTGGGAACGGTATGGGAGATGTTCCTCCATCAAACCTACACAACCACAGGAGAACCAGGAAAGAGGGTGAGGAGCAGGATGAGGCTGCAGACTGGGCCGGTGGGACTCAAGTGGAGCTGCTGGGTTTGTGACAGGTACAGATGTGCGGCAGATTCCGTTCACAGCTGGACAGCTCGTGCTCTGGGCACTAGGAGAGGCTTTAACCACTGGAAGTGGGGACGGCAGAACTCCAACACCCACCAGAACAGGCCCTGCAGCCGGAGCTCAGCACGTGGGAATGCAGGATGCTAAAATCCCATAAAGGTTTGGGTTGGAAGGGACCTTCAACATCGTCCAGCTCCAACCTCCCCGCCATCAGCAGGGACACCTCCCACTAGTACAGGTTGTTCAAAGCCCCATGCAGCCTGGCCTTGAACTCTTCCAGACATGAAGCAATCCCCAGATCCCCGTTCGATGCTCAGCAGCTGATGCGCTCTCTCAGCCCCGCACCACCATGTCCCACGCACGCCGCCGGCTCTCCCGCAGCAGCCCAGCAGCCGGGCCGGGGCACGGGCGGGGCGGCAGCCCCGGGGCAGGGAGCGGGGCTTTCCCCAGCGCTGCCCAGGGCAGGCACGGGCGGACCTCAGCCCACAGAGCGCAGCGCGGCCCCGCACGGCCCCGCACGGCCCGGCCTAGGGCGGCCCCACCGGGGCAGCGCATGCGGGCTGGCCGGGCGGCGCGGCGGCGGCTCAGGTTGCGAGGCGGCAGCCCCCGGCCCTCCTCCTCCTCCTCCTCCTCCTCCTGCTCTCCTTCCTGCCCGCCTCCCCGGGCGGAGAGCACCGGCCCGGCCGCCTCCTCCGCCCCCTCCCCGTCCCCGTCCCTCCCGGCCCCGCTGCCAGGGGCGAAGCCGCCCGCCGGGCCCCGCGGTGAGTTTGCCCCGCCGGAGTTGGGCGAAGCGGGGCGGGGGGAAAGTTTGGGGAGGCCGGCGGAGGGGTGGGCGCTGCCCGGGGCCGGGGGCGTGCGGAGCCCCCCGCCCCTTCCCGCGCCCTCGCACGCTTCCCCCGCCCTTCCCCGTCCTCCATGGGGGTTTTTTTCCTCCGCGCAACTTCGCGTGGAGCCGCTCCGGGCGGTTCCTCTCCTCCGCGTGGCTTTATTCCTTTTCGTTTTCCGACTCTCGGTAGTTCTTCATTTATTTGGAGCGCTCTCTCGCGCGGCTGCTCCCCGCCGCTATTGTCTGCGGGCCGGGGCCGGGCGCGGTCCCCCCGCAGCCGGGCGGGGGTGGCGGCCCCGCTGTGCCCGGCAGAGCGCCGGGGACACGCACCCGCCCGGCCCCCAGCCTCCCTCCGCTTGAACACTGATACCCTGCTCGGAACCCGCCTCCAGGCTCACCGGCACAACTTTGTGTCTCAGCTCATTGCGCGGAAAGTCACCGCGGGTTCTTAGCTAGAGCCCCCCCGCAACACGCTGCTGTTGGTGGGTGTCACCTTTGGGTCTCGGTGGCCTTTGGTGTCACTCAGAGGGTCATTGCCTCTGTGGGCTCTAATTCATGCTTTCAATCTGTTGCTTGAAAATATAATTATTTTTGTTCTTTCTCAAGTGCAGACCCTTCTGAAGCAAATGAAGGAGTTTCTGGATGAGAATTGCGACATAGTAGTTTTTCTGAACCTGTATACTGTTGGGGTTTATTAATCCACCTTCTGTGACTGTGTTGTAACCACAAGTCATATAGAGGATGGGGATTTGCAGAATCTGATTTTGCTGACCTCTGGAATTGGTTCTGCTCCAGTGTCCTTTACAGGGCTTCATGTTAGCTGGAGATAGTAAATGGGAAAAAAAGTGATTTACAAAAACTTCTTTTCTTTTATTTTTTTTTTTTAAGAGTGCACTGTGCCAATTCTGCTGTGGATGACCAGATAGGGATTCAATAAAGGGATTAGAAATCCTGCACTGCTGTAGGACAGTTGGTCGCTGTGGCTCTCTGTAATCTCCGTCAGCCGTAAAACTTTAGGTACTCATGGAGATATGCGATGCAGTAGAAATATGTAAAGCATGTAGCTTCAGAGCTGAGTTTAGACAGTTGGTCTGAGATCTATGGATGTCTTGTGTACTTGGAGTTTTGGCTAATGTAATCTAATCGGTTTTAAAGGGCCAAGTGACATTATTTCTGTTTGTGGTGACTTCTTTAGTCCCTTGATGGGTGTGTTTCTCATGTTTTGCACGCCCTTGCTGAGCTGTTGTGGAACAGTAAGGGTGAACCAAGTTCCACGTGGGTCCTTGAAGGTAAGATATCATTTGTTGTGGTGTTAGAGGAGGTGTATTTTTATACATAGATACTTTAGCAGTGGGAGTAGATTGATTGTTAACCTCATAACATCCCTGCTGTGGATAGAAATTGCTGTCTGTAATAGAAGGGCATTTACTGTGCTTCGGGACATGGTGACAGTGTCTTGTTCGCACACTTGAAATTGGGTTAGTTTGGGTTTTTTTTGTTTTGTTTGCTTTTTTTACAAGGCTGATAGCAGATTAAGGGTGCATTAGGCAAGGTGACAATTGTCTGGTCGTGCGTTTTCCTTTGGCAGGAGTTCAAGATTGTTGTTCATTTTGTAGGTTGAGCCTCTCCATCGCCGTCTGTCCTTGCAGCGCTGCCTGGTGCTGGACGGACGGGCTAGCCTGGGGCTGTTGCTAGAAGGGTATGGATGTTGGGTTCTGCCAGGCAGACAGATTTTGTAGGTAGCCTGAATGACGAGTCCCCCGCAGGTAGTGTGGATGAGCTGTGCTGTGTGATGACAGCGTTCCAGCCTGGATTTCTTGCCCAGCTCCGGCAGCCACGGATGGCCGGCATAGCCCGAGAGGTGAGGACACGACGTGTCCGAAGTGAGGGAGTCCAGCCAGGGACTGCAGCCAGAGAGAAAGGCAGGAGCTCGATGTTCCTGATTTACAGCTTCGCTGCATCAAAGGAGGGAAATGCATTTAAGAGCTCAAAGCTTCTCAAAGGAACAGAGCTCTGCCAGGTACTATGTGATGATGGATGTTTTTAAACAGTCTGCATAGCGCAGCTTTGAGACTCAGGCATATGCAGAACTCACTAATCTCTCAGCAGGATATGCTTGTGAGTAAGCTGTGTTCTGGTCTAGGGTACACTCCTGTGCTAAGAGGAGGATTAAGTACTGTTAAAGGAATCTGGTTATTCTATCCAAAGCATGAATTAAGAACAGCAGTCAATAAATTATCCTAGAGGAAAAAAACATTGGTAGGTTTACTGATGGTGTTCACATGCTCCTGTGTTACAAAAGCAGTGGGGTTCTTTCATATAATTTTCTGTTGGAATATTAAGTCTTAATAAATAGTTGCTTAACAAAAAAGTCGTTAGTAGAAACTGTAGTGCCTGCTGTACCTATTTTCCACTGTTTCCAGGACACCACCATATCAGTTTTCTCTGCCCGGTGGTGATCCACTCGCCAGTAAAACCGACCTTGAAGCAGCTTGGAAGCTTTTCTGCTTATTACTGTAGCTGGTTATCTCTGCAATCTACTTGAGTGCTATTAAATGCTATTTCTATAGGGGTTCCCCACACAGGCAATAAATAGCCTGAAGTCAGCTAAACCACACAGCTGATTGATAGGGAGGAAATATTTGGTTTTGGCTTGTCTCTACTGGTAGAAGGCACTGCTATGAAGTTAAAAACTTGAGGAGAAGGCTGGATAGTCCAGGAGGCCATAAAGGCGTGGTATGGCCTCCCTGTGTGATTGTGGCCCTATGTTTTACCAGTCTCCTGCACAGGGAGTTGGCGTGGTTTCCAGCTGGAGGGTAACTCCTATTTGCAGACACATGAGAGGCTGGATGTGGAAAGCTGGGGAGGAAAACACCTTGCAGCCTCTACCTTGTGATTACTGGTTGCTGTTCAGTGCCAAGTGTTCATGTGCTTGCTTGCATTGATCACCTGTAGGACAGATAAAGGTAATGAGTGATGTCCTGAAGCAGCTGATAGCTCTGGTGTAGAGTCCTTTGCTGCCCTGGGGTTTGCCACAGGGGATATAATCCAGCTGGGAGCCTGGTTGGGGCTGGCGTGTACCACCTGGTCAGTCAAGTCCAGGGAGCCCTGCACCTTTTCCAAAAGAAAACTTGTTTTTAGGGTGTTGGATATAATGCGATTTTTATGAATAGCTTAGTCATGCTTCACTTTTTTTTTCTTCTAAAACAGCTGTCAACAGTCTCACTGTGGGGAGGGAATCAGCCACTCCTTCTACTTACTGAATAGTCAGACACTTCAGCCTGGCATTGCACTTCTTAGTGGCTTTTGGAAACAAAGCCGTGGATGTGGCACAATGGCTTATTTTTATTTATTTATTTATCAAGCCTGCCTTTTTCTCTTTGCAAATGACCTTTATGCAGATCTAGAAGGCAAAGCCCATCACTGGGAGTTAGCTGGTTAGTTACTTACAGTTACTGATAAGAAAATATGATGGCAGTGCTCCAGGAAAAGCAGCTATGCTGGGAACTGCTGTACAGATCTTTTTCAGACTGATATACCTCTGTATATTTATGGTGCTTTGTCAGGGAAACAGGGTGACTCCTCTCATAATGTCTGCATGACAAATAAGCTGTGACGCCACAAATCCTGTAAAGAGTTTACTGTCCTCCTGGAGACGGCTGGTGGAGACATGCAGTAGGTAAAAGTTTCAGTGTCATGCTAAACTTGAACTGCAATTTTGTCATCTCATTTCTTGTGTGTGTTGGCGTAGCATAAGCAGCTTCTTCCAGTTCCCCAGCTGGGCCGTACTGGGGTTTTTGGGTCTGTTCAGCAAACCAGACTGGGAAATGGATCCCAGCTAAGAATACGTTATTGTTTTTTGTTATACAATTCATAACTTGTGTCAGTTAAGAAAAAAAGTTCATTCTGTACCTGTATCAATTACCTGACTTGTCTTCCTTTGTGTTATCACAAGCAGCTGCTGTGGCAGAGGGTTGGATGCTTTCACCAGGAGAAACCTAAGCTCTTGGAAGTGCTTTTCCATTTGCAAATAAGGCATTTGGCTGTGGTGCCCATCCCTTTTTTATAGCATCAGAAGACAGCATGGGAGATAGATGTTTCTGAGATAAGCCAGTGAGCTAAAAGTCAAAGTGTTTAATTTTTATGTTCTGTAAGACAGCAGTTCAAGAGCAAAGAGAAATCACTGCAAAATAGGTTCTGCCATTTTAATAATGTTCTTTAAAATTTTCTTTATAACCATTTTGGATAGGTTGCTAGGTTTTTGAGAAACAGGGCAAGAAAGTGCAATCACGAATATTTTTAAGTAGTCAACAGTCCTTAAATGTACAAAGTGTGATACCTTGGAAAAAGTAAGCTTTTGTTCTGTTGTAGCTGAAATGGAACACATGTTGTGACATGGTCAGGCAGTCTAGCAAGCCTGTTTTATATATATTGAGACGAAACTTACAAATCTGATGCTGAAGAGTTTATTGGATGGTTTGTAATATGCGTGAGAAAAAGGTTCTTTGTTGGCATAGCAATGAAGTTCTCACAGTCCAAATGCTCAAATATTTAATCTGGGATTGGAGAAAACTTAAAGAAAAATTATCCCCGAAACTACTGTCAGCACCTTCTACAGCACTTGTGCTGAGGGCTTGAAATACAGTATATTCCAAGCATGTTTTGGGTGTGAGGTTGGGTTTGGTGCCTCTGGGTGAGGTCTGTTTGGTGTGGGTCTTGGGGACTTCCATGGTTGGGGGAGGATCTTGGCTGTGGCCCTGGCTACAGAATCCAGAATGGTGCTTCTTCACCAGTGAACTCATAACTCTGTAGCGCAGGTTCTTCTGCCAAAGTTAGATCTCCTGGACCCCTTGGATTTTTCTTGAAAATCTCTTTCCCCTTATAAAGGCTGTGAATTGACTTTTATATTCAAAATGATCCAATCTCTTCAGTCAT